TATATATATATATGAATCTTGGTCATATCTGAAGCCACACATTTCTGTATTGTTTTAGGCCACTTTCAGCTGATAGGTGAAGGCTATGTTCCTTGTTTCATGTAAACTTCAAAAGACTTCAAAATCTTTCCACCAATAAAACCAGTATTTACATCTCCAGTAACCAGCATGCTTTCCCTGCCCGGTGTGGCTCTGAGTCCACAGGAATAGCCTAGGATTCCTTTTCCCCCTTTACACAGCATTACGTTTTATACCTTCATATCCTTTATCTGTCATATCAGTTGTGTGCCTTGGAAGGATAGAACAGTGCTGGCTTTATTTTAGATTGCCTTTCAAACATGTATGGGGAGCATCCAACTGACTGTCACTCTTACCGCATTGTACAATACCCAAACCTATAATGAAATATAAGTGTCTATTCCACTCTATGTTGTGCAGACAACATAGTTTCCTTGTACTCATCTAACATCTTTGGCTCTTATAATCTTTCTGTCCCCCCTTTTGCAATGATTCTTCAGCCTTGGAAGAACAGGTTATGATATAGGTGACTCATTTAGGGCTGAGCACTCTGCTGTCTATTTTTTGCTGCATGTTGACTATTTTTGAGTCTCTGTGTTAATCATCCTCTGCAGCAGGAAGAACGTTCTCTGGTGAGTGTTGAGAGATATGTTGATCCATGGGTATAACAACAAATCATTAGGAGTCAGCCTGATACTATGTCATTTAGCAGAATGCTAGTAGGAGCTTTCTTCACCATGGCTTGTGACCTGTCTAGCCACAGGTTCTTGGCCCTGACAATAGTGTCAGTTATGGCCTCCCTATAAGGAAGCAGGCCTTAAATTCAATTAGAAGGTGGTTAGTTACTCCCGTAGTATTTATGCCACTGTTACACTAGTGGCCATACTTTGCTACACCACTAATTATTATGGCTTTTTAACCTAGGCTATGCATTAAAATGCCTCAAAAGCAATAAGAAAGTATATGAAGACCAAAACTTAATAGCTAGTAAAACCATTATCAATTTTCAAAGCCCTAAAAAATAAAAAATGCAAAAATCTTGATTCTTTCAGAAATTATTTTCCAATTAGAAATTTTTTTCCTAAAGATCTTCTACAGGCATGTCCTAAGCCATAGTTTCTATAATATAACATAATAATTGCTATTTCACAAGAGGGAGAATTATACACAAGGGAATTAACAAGAGTATTTTACAAAAATTTAAAACGAAATTTTAATTGTTCTTGTCTCCCAGAAGCCCATCCCCTGTGAAAAGAAACCTTGAGAGAATTTCTTCCAATATATTTTTATGAAAATTCTTATATAGAAACACTATGTGAAAAAAGCATCATTCAGGTAAGTGACTTGGGAAACTATGAGGGAAATCTGGGTAATGAATTTGTAATATGTGTATGAAGTTGAGATCCGAATTCTGATCCCCTAAATAAAGGAGAACTGAGTTTTATTTTAGATTAGCAGTACCAAATTTCCAAGTAGAGAAAAAGTGAGGATATGAATTATAGTTTCCTGGTACCATTCTACCTCAGAATTTTGGAGGCCCATCACAAATGCCTCTACAGTGTCTCTAGGCAGTGTAAGGATTTCCTCACACTTGCTGAGAGTGCTATATTCGTATTTTTGGTCACACATCATAACAGAGGGATTTCCATTTTCTTTTTATTATTTTTATTTTATGTGTTTCAGTGTATGTAATTGCACCCCTGTCCTGCAACATCCTTAGAGGTCAGAAGAGGGTGTTGGATCCCCTAGAACTAGAGTTACAAATTTTTGTTAGCCACCGTGTGAGTGCTGGGAGTTTACCCAAGTCTTCTGCTAAAGCAACCAGTGCTCTTAACCACTGAGCAATCTCTCCAACCGAATTTTCATATTTTAACCTACATTTCTTTCAGGCATGATTAAGAGGTGGAGGGGGTTTGAGGATAACAAAAAAACATCTATCTACAATACATTTATCTATCTGTCTATCTGATACAATTTAATAAAGCCAATCCTAATTTGTATTATTAGTCATGTAGATTACCAGGTATAAATTCCTTATAAATGAAAATTCAATATTCATGGATAATTTAAATTCATAAACCTCTCATATATATCATATATATAAAAACTTTCATATATATAAACATGATTATATATATATGTAAGTATGTATATAAATCAACATGATTTACCAGGAGGTGTTTATATTGTGTGACCATCCTTTCCCTCGCTTTGAATCTCCTGTGTATTTTAATAAATAATTCTTCTGAAATGGTTGATATATTTTGGTATTTTGTGATTTTATATTTTTGGACCTTGAAAGTTTATTCTAATGATATGTATTATCACTAAGTAAAGTGAAGAATTTGCTTATGTGTATTTATCCTTCCAGACTTAGGCTTCTCTTAAAAATCCTTCATTGACCCCAGTCATTGATGTGGTTATTAGGCATTAAAACTGGGGTTAGACCACCAATTGATGTTCTCCCTTAGCAGCTTGTGTAGTGCTCTCCAAAACTGTGAGAGCTAGCCTTCAGGGGAGATGACTTCCAGGTCAGTTCCAGTTTCATTGCTCCAAATCCTGTGTCCAAAGTATGTACTGTCTTCAGAAACAGAGACCTACCTTCAAGTTCTTGGAGGCATTCAAGGGCTGTGGCAATAACCTGTTTAATTCTCTGGGCTAACACCACACCTGCTGTATTCATGAGGATATGCCCAGTCATGATATTGACCTCTTAGTTGACTTCCCTGTCTCTTTCTTCCCTGGAACACTGTGAGGAACAGGGATTCTGAATCATGTAGCTCTCCATCCTGGATGTCTAGAGCAACATGTCTGCTTCTTTCTATTAACTGTTGTAGTTTCAGTTCATATTCACATCCAAATAATATCTTCTTGAATCATTATCATGATGCAAGTTTTCATTAATCTCTATAAATTTCATAACACTTTTGTGCATTATATCTACTAGGTTATTGATGAATTTTGTTCCAGACAACCTGAAATGTAAAGTTTTACAGAATAATAAATAAAGATTTCTAATTCTAACACTAATTTTGAGGTGTCCCCTAGGTTCATATAACTATGAGGTATTATTCTCTATTTTCAGTCACAAAAAACCATGTGTAAAATGCCTGTGAAGATAAAGTCTTTATCAAGATAATGCAGAACTCTTAAAACTTTCACTATATTAGGTAAAATTATAATAAAACAAAAACTCTAGATATGCTTTAATGATCTTAGAATTGTTACAACTCATCACTGCATTTTTCGTAAAATAACATAGCCTTTTTCATCTCTAACAGAAATTTTGTTTGAAATGACTTGGAAAACCAAGAAAATACTAAGCAAAGTGAAACAAGCCACACAGAAAAGTGATGAATGATTCTACTCATAAAAGGTAAATGTCAAATTCAGAGGGAAGAACACAAAAATGACACAGAGTATAAAACATGGGAGACACATGGAGGAGTTGATCAGTGGGTGCAATTTCTTAACAATGTCTGATGACTGAATTATGAAGAGACTCAGTACAGCATAGTGTCTGTAGTATACACTAAGGCCTTCCACACTCAGAAGATATGGTAGCTCTCATACAAAGCATTCTTAACACATTTATTAAAATGAAGCAAAAATATGATAAAAGGAACCTTTTGCAGATGACAGGTTTATTGATTAACTTAATTGTGGTGGTGATATCATGAGTTTTTAAAAATGCATGAAGTGATCAAATTGCATATGTTAAATGTATCATTTCCACTTCAATGATGCTGTTAGGAGACAACAAATAAAACTGCCTTCCCTTAAAGCATTTTGGCATTTTGCTGATGATCTATTCACGTCTAAAATTCATCAGACAAAGGGACACTAAGAAAATTGATACAGGGGAGGTTGTTTAGAATTCTCCACCAAGTTCAAAGGAATGTAAACACACGGGTGGTGTTAGCAAAGCAGAACAGAAAACAGATTTAAGAGAATGAGACTTCAGAGTAATTCAGTCAGTTGCAATGGGTCAGGACCTCATGACTGCTATCAAAGCCACAATGGCATTGTGAGAAATAAAGGAGCTTCTGTGATGAGAACTAGCCTTTTCTGGGCCTGTGAGATACACACACACACACACACACGTTGATGAGAAACAGACCTTTCTGTGGCTGTGAGATACACACACACACACACACATACACACACACACACACACAGACACACACACACACACACACACACACACACACAGAGAAGCAAAATAAAATAAAACACCCAGTTGGCCAATGAAAACAGAACTGTAGCAGAATACATGTCTTAGTCTATTTCATGGTGCTATGAGGGAGTACCTCATTCTATAATAGACAGTATATAATGATCAGGCATTTGTATATCTCAAGTCTAGATAGGGAAGTCCAACATAAAAAAGACATGCCTGATACGGACCTTCTTCTTGTTTCAATAATATTTTATTCATCCTTTGAGAATTTCATATGGTATATTTTGATCATATTAGACTCCTTTCCCAGTCTCTTCTCAGGTCCACTCTGTCTTCTTCCACTTCTTCATTTCATGCCCTCTACTAATTTTTAAGTCCTATATAGTCTAATTTGTGTTCCCCAGATGTTTTTGTGTGTGGGTCCATACCCTAAAGCCTGGTCAACCTACCTGCCATCACATCCTTAAGGAAAAATCACTCTCCTCTTCCACCAGCTATCAATTGCCAACACAATAGTTCTTTAGCTAGAGCTGGGGTTCCTTGACCACCTCCTGACTCAATGCTGGGTTTTTGTCTGACATGGGTTTGCACAGGTCTTGTGCATGCTGTCACTAGCCCTGTAGGTTTAGATGCATAATTTCCCTGTTGAGGCTGGAAAACCTATTTCCTTGTATCCACTATCTCAGGCTCTTATAATCATTCTATGCTTTCTTCTGCAATGATACTTGAGCTTTGAGAACAGCAGGTGTGATATAGATGTCCCATTTAGAGCCAAGAACTCTATAGTCTCTTATTTACATTTCAAACAGTGTAGGTTTCTGCATCAATCGCCATCTGCTGCAAGAAGCAGCTTCCCTCATGAAAGCTGAGAGATGTGTTAATCTATAGATATAATGATAAATCATTGGGATTTGGTTTAATATTATACCCATTTAGGAAGATAATAGTAGTAGGTTCTCAACCACAGCCTGTGACCTGTCTAAGCACAGGTTCTTGTCCCTGGTAACAGCACCAGGTATGGGTTCCATCTTATAAAGAGTGAGGGTCTTGTTTCATTATAATGTGGCAGGAAGTAAAGGACCAAGAGCACAGACTAGCAGTGTAGATGAGGCTGAGCACAACTGCATCAGAATGTCAGGGATGTCAGGAATCTATATGTGTGACAACTAATTCGTTACATCACATTAAACCAGTGGTCTCACAAAGTCTTCACCTTTAAAGGTCCTACTACCTCTCTATAATTCTACACTGGAGGCTAAATTTCTAACAAAACATTAGGGAACACATTCTATCTATAGCTTTATGCAAACACAATGTATTTTATAGGTAAAATCAGGAGACATAGTAAAATTAATAAAAGAGGTTTTATGAAAGATAATCAGCAAAATATTAGTTCTGAGTTTAGAAAAATTAAGTTCCATTGTGAATTAATAACATCAACGTATAGGCAGACTTGAAGTTTTCTAGTATAGAATTGGCCATAATTGAAGATGGTTGTCCTTAATAGGAGATGGCCAATTGGACAGTTAAAAGAATCGAGTCTGTGTCAGGGAGCAAGATGCAGAGACTATTCATAAATTCTTTGACAACCTCTTTAGCCGATTGTTTCCATAATTTAAAATCAGGTTTTTATTGTTGTCTCTCATAAAGACTGAAGAAACATTTTGAATCATGTGTCTTCCTTGTGCCTCTAACTCTTTGTCAGTTAATAGTTAGTAAGGCCCTGAGGCTAGAGAGATTGCACAGTGGAACAAAGTGCTTGCTATAGAAGTCTAACAAAACTGAGTTAGGATTCCCAGAATCTGCTAGAAAGTCAGAAAAATCTGTAATCCCAGAACCCTAATGGAATAAAGGATATGCAGATAAGAAAGTCTACAGGAAGGACTAGGGCCATTTAGCCTGGGCTATGCAGTGCAAGAGACTGTCTCACACAAGACGGAAAGGCGTCCTCTGATCCCTGCATTCACATCATGACACAAGCGTACCTGGATTCACACAACACAAACACACACACACACACACACACACACACACACACACACACACCTGACAAACCAAAGACCTGCACAAAGACAACACCAGTTAACATGCCAATGTGGATGAGGGAAATTTCAAGGAGTCCCACCTCTAGGTGAAGAGCTACAGGCGGTCAATGGATACTGAGGAAGGGAGAATCCGTTTTCTCCAGGGATGAGCTCCTTGATAAATTATCTAGTGCTAAGTAGTCAGCCGTAAACACCTGTCCATACGAGAGCAGCACTAAATGGACTCAAACACACACACACACACACACACACACACACACACACACACCTGACAAATACTCTATTCTGTACCGACAAAGAAAAACCTGTTTCTTTTTTATGAATTAGTAAAAAATACTGATTATGGTATATATGAGTCATCAAAGCACTTTTAGACTTTTAGTTGCTTATGAGACAGAGAAATGCAAAGTGTGGCAGAAACCTAATGGGAATCTTTGGCATGAAACAAAAGGTACCCACCAGGTATAGCTTAAATGGGGAAGGCTTCCAGGAGGGCAGCAAAGGTTGTGGTCGGATGTTTTGTGAAAACAGTATGTGTCAGTATGATTTTGTTGTATTTGTAATTACTATAACACATTCATTATGATGTATTTGATATACATTAAAATTCATATTTTGCCAGTGTATAATTCAGAGTGTTTTTAATATGCATAGGGGTATACAGTCAGCCTTGTATTCATTGGCAGAATGTTACATAATCATCTCAACTAAAGCATCATAACCATGAGCAGTCATATCTGTTCCTCCTTCCCCAGAGCATATGACAGATACCAAGCTTCATTTGTATGGATCAGCCTATATCTGACACTTCCTATTAACTGGACCTTTAATGTGTGGTCTTTCATGTCTGGTTCCTTTCAATTAGCATTCTTAAGACTCTGAAAAGACAGTGGAAATCAGGACCTTAAATCTCTTTATTCTGGAATAGTGGTCTATTTTATGGATAAAATATACCTTGCATCTACATCACTGGATGGATATTTGGGGCTCTTCCAGTCTTTGGATATCATAAGCACTTCTCTAACGATTTATGCACAAATTTTTCTGGCAGTGTATATTTTCAACCCCTGTGGGTATGTCTTCAGGATTGAAATTGCTGGGCCACATGGTAACTAACTCAATGATTTTTATTTTGTGGTTGATAGACTACTTAACAAGTATTGTATCATTTTACACAGTACCAGAAATACGTGAGAAGTCTACTTTTGTCATTTCATTTCCAGCACTTAGTGTCTTTTTATTATAACTTCCTGATCAATGTAAAGTGTTACCTCTGTGGTTTTGATTTGAATTTCTTTAATAATTAATGTTAAAGCCAAACTTTTCAGGTGTTTATTTCCCATGTATGCATCACCAGTAGAAGAATAATTATTTGTATATTCAGGTGCTTATAAATGGTATTGTTTGCCCCTTTAACTGTTAAACTATATCAGTTCTTTATAAGCTATCTAAAATTACTCCCTCAGATATATTACTTGAAATTTTTCCCATTCTGTATATAACCATTTCAATTTATAAATTATGTCTTTTAAAGCATAATTTTTTAACATTTTACAATGTTCAATTTATTAATTTTGGGTGATGTTATCTGGGTTTTGCATTTTAGGCAAGAACAGTCATCAATTCCAAACTTGTAAAGATTTGGTCTTGTGTTTTCTTTATAGTTTTATAGCCCTAGCTCTCAGATGTAATTCAAAGTCCCATTTTAAATATTTTTATTAAATTCTATGAGGAAGGGTTATGTATAAATTTCAAGTAGTTACCCAACTGTCCCAGGACCATATGTTGAAAAAATACTATCTACAATGAATTGTCATAAAATCAGAATACCAATTTAAATTTTCATAGATTCAAGTCTAATCTTGGAGTGTAAATTTCATTTCATTGATTGGTACATCTACACTTCAGTCAATACAATTTATCTTGATATTATTACATTGTTGTAATTTTCAAGTGAGGAAAGCTAAGACTTCCAGCTTTATTCCATTCTTTCAAATTTGTTCTGATTTTCCTGGCCCAATACATTTCATAGGCATTCTATGACCAACACATCAGTATCTATGATCACAGAGGTGGAACTTTACAGTAGTTACACTGAATTTACACCATAGTTAGGATTTTTTTTCCACTTTCACAATGCTAGACCTTTTGATTCAAGAACAATGGAGTGACTTTATATTTATATAGATCTTTAATTCATTTCAACAAAGTTCATGATCTAAGGATAATCAATTCTAATAGTTAGATGTTTGCATTTACATATTAATTGTAATTTTCTGTACAAAAGATTGAGTTACTTATACCATGTCAACATCATTTCATTTTTTTGTTTTTTCCAATAGAATTGTTGAGGTTTTTTGTTTGTTTTGTTTTGTTTTTGTTTTGAGACAAGGTCTTCCTGTAGATCCAGATGGTCTGAAACTCACTATGTAGACCAGGCTGGCCTTGATCTCTCAGAGATCTGCCTGCCTGTGTCTCCCAAGTCCTTGATTAAAAGCTTGTGCTGCCATATCTGGCCCAGCAAGAGTTTTAATTGTATTTTCTTGTTAAATGTCAAAACTGGAAATTTTGATGTAATGCTCAAAAAAATGTTCAGAGAATTTTAGTTTTACTTGTGGTTGAAATCATTGTAAAAGTTCTTTGGTCATTTTGAGTGGAATTTCTTGTTGATGTGGTTGATAGTTTAATATGAAAGAGTACTTGGTAGAGGATATGTGAGTATTGTAACAGATATAAGCAAGTACTGAGGAAAATCCATTGACATGACCATATCTGTTCTTTAAGTATTCATAGACTATATACCAACATAGTATATATCAACATACATAATAAAACACAGATAGATGAAGATGGCATAGATCTAACAGATCTATTATTTATTTATATGTTCCGTATTTGAGGGATCACAAACTCTTTGGCATCTCTACCTTACATAAGTTACTGCCAGAGAACTGACACCCAACTGAGATGATTTAAATTCTAGCTCACAATCCAATCGGTGGAGGACAATAAAATACATAAACCATATTTTTCTCACTTCCCGAATAGAATTTTCACATGAAAATGGCAGAAGGAAACCATTCTATTGTGACGGAGTTCGTGATTGCAGGTTTAACAGGAAAACCAGAGCTGCAGCTGCCCCTCTTCCTGCTCTTCCTCGGGATCTACATGCTCACAGTGCTGGGGAACCTGGGCATGATCATGCTGATCCTGCTCAGCTCCCACCTGCACACCCCCATGTACTTCTTCCTCAGCAGTCTGTCCTTCATTGACCTCTGTTATTCCACTATCATTACCCCAAAAATGCTGGTGAACTTTGTGACAAAAAAGAACATCATCTCTTACCCTGAATGTATGACTCAGCTCTATTTTTTCATTGCATTTGTTATATCTGAGTGTCACATGTTGGCTGCAATGGCCTATGACCGCTATGTGGCCATCTGTAATCCCTTGCTTTACAATGTCACCATGTCTTATCAAGTCTGTTCCTGGATGGTAGGTGGAGTATATGGCATGGGCTTCATTGGTGCAGCAATTCACACTTTCTGCATGCTAAGAGTACAGTTCTGTAAGGCTAATATAATAAACCATTACTTCTGTGATCTTTTCCCATTGATGGAGCTCGCATGCTCCAGTACTTTTGTCAATGAGGTAGTACTCCTATGCCTCAGTGCTTTCAATATTTTTATTCCCACTCTGACCATCTTGAGCTCTTACATCTTCATCATTGCCAGCATCCTCCGCATTAAATCCACTGAGGGCAGGTTCAAAGCCTTCAGCACCTGCAGCTCCCACTTCTCTGCTGTGGCCGTCTTCTTCGGCTCTCTGGCATTCATGTACCTGCAGCCCTTCTCTGTCAGTTCCAAAGACAAAGACAAAGTGTCGTCTGTGTTTTATACTACTGTTGTACCCTTACTGAATCCCATGATCTACAGCCTAAGAAATAGGGATGTCAAACTCGCTCTAAGTAAGTTATTTCAAAAGAAGAATTTCATTATGTAAAATAACATTTTGGCATATCAAAAATATATAATATCTGGTTATGCTGTTATTGCCAGTCCATGATTATTTTGGGGTAAATAAAGGCATCAGGGAAGAATGAATTCACAGTTCCAAAACATAGAAAAAGTAATTTTGAGATTATCTCGAGTACATTCATCCAAAGTAATCTGTAAAACCTGTAAATGTGTTTTTATACTCTTCAAAGAATTCTTATTGTTCTTTATGCTTCATTGTATATGAAACTTATCTCTTTTAGGTGAGGTTTATTTCTCTTACTCAAGAAAATAAATATATTTGATCATATCTTATCACCTCAATATCTTGCATATCTGGCCCCTCTAAATTAAGAATATTCATGATTTCTGAAAGTTTGATCCCTGAAATTAAAATTTTCTTAGTCTTCCTAGTTGTGCAGAGCTATATTGGGGAACATAGAATCACACTAAAATAGTGAAGTTCTCACCCACTGGTAAATAATGTAATGTGTGAGAGACATAAGCATGCCTGCAGTACTTTCATATACCTCAGCAGCATTCTTCAATCTCATTTTGGAACTATGACAGTCTCTGTTTTACTGACAATCATATATTCATTTTTCCTATCCCAAAGTAATAATTCTATTTTCCAGCCCTCTGTATAAAATCTCATATTCAGAAATGATATTCTTTCACAAATGCTGGCACTGGGTTATTTGGGTTATGTATTCTTATGAAAAAGGTTAAAATCAGAACATTGTTTTCTGCCTAATAAGTAGCCCTCATTCACAAAAGCTCACTATTCGTTTTTGTTTTGTTTTGGGTTTTTTTTTTTTTTTTTTTTTTTTTTTTTTTTCTCCCTGTATCACCAGCTGGCCTGGAACTCACTATGTAGACAGTGCCAGCCTTGAATTCACAGATCTCACAGAGACACCTGCCTCTGCCTCCCAAGTGCTGGAACTAAAAGTGTGAGCCACCATGCCCAGCTTTGACTATTCATTTTTAAAGACACTGAAAAAGAAAACTATCGATCCATATCCTTCATGAACATAGATACAAAAATTCTCAATGAAATGCTTGCAAACTGCATACAGATACACATCAAAATGACCATCCACCACAATCAAGCAAGTTTTCTTCCAGATATGCAGGGGTGGTTCAATATACATAAGTCAGTAAATGTCATAGATAATATCAATGGACACAAAGACCAAAATCACATGGTCATCTCAATAGATGCAGAAAAGACCTTGAAAAATTCAACATGCATTTATATGAAAAGTCTTAGAGGGAATTGGACTGGAGGGAATGTACTTCAACATAATTAAAGCTATATGCAACAAACCCATAGCCAACACTATTCTAAATGGAGAAAACTTGGAAGCATTCCCACTAAAATCAGGACCATAAAGGCTGCCCACTATCTCCAATCCTTTGTAAATAGTGCTTGAAACTCTTGCTAGAGCAATAAGACAAGAGAAGGAAATTAAAGGAGTACTAATTGGAAAAAAAGAGGTTAAATCATCCCTTTTTATGGATGATATGATACTATACCTAAGAGATCCCAAAAATTCCACCGGAAAATTCCTAGAACTGATAAACACTTTGAGTAAAGTGCCAGATTAAAAAATTAATCTACAAAATCAGTAGGCATTCTATATACCAATAACAGGCATCAGAGAAAGAGGACATGGAAACCAATTTGTAATAGCCTTAAAAAAGTAAATATCTTACTATAAACCTGACAAAAGACACTAAAGATCTCTACAATGAAAAATATAAATCTTTAAAGAATGAGATTGGGGAAGATATCAGAAGATGGAAGGACCTCCCATGTTCATGGATTGGAAGAATTAATATTACAAAAATGACGATCCTACCAAATACAATATATAGAATCAATGCAATCCCAACCAAAATCCACATGACATTCTTCACAGAATTAGAAAAAAAAATCACAAAATTCATAAGGAAGAACGAAAGATCCAGGATAACCAAAGCAATCCTGAGTACAAAGAGCACTGCTGGGGGATTACTATACCAGATCTCAAACTGTATTACAGAGCTCTAGTCATAAAAACAACATGGTACTGGCCCAAAAATAGACACATAAGTCAATGGAACATAAATGAACACTCAAACATTAGTGCACACGATTTCAGTTACCAAATATTTGACAAAGGTGCCAAGAACACACACTGGAGGAAAGACAACATCTTCAACAAATGCTGCTGTAGAAGAATGAAACTAGGCCCCTATCTTCCACCTTGTACAAAAGTCAACTCCAAATGCATCAAAGACTTCAGTATGAAACATGAAACTCTGAAACTTTTAGAAGAAAATGTTGTTATAAGAAAACACCTACAAGATATATGTTTAAGTATGGATTTTCTAAATCAGACATCATTTGCTCTGGAATTAAGGTCAAAAATCAAAAGGTGTGACCTCATTAAACTAAAAAAAAAAACTCTGTACAGAAAAAGAAATAACGAAGGAAGTGAAGAGAAAACCCATGAGTTTTTGCATGAGTTTGCAAAAGCAGCATGGGAAATTCTTAAAAAACTAAAATGAATGTATCATATGACATGGTATACCACTCCTTGGCATATACCAAAGGACTCATTCTACATCAATAGTTATTGCTGCTCTTTTCACAATAGCTAAGAGATGGAAGCAACCTAAGTGTCCCTCAACTGAGAAGTGAATAATGAAAATGTAGTTCATTTACACAATGGAGTTCTACTCAGTGGTAAAGAAAGACAAAATGATGAAATTTAAATAACTATTATTTTTATATTAATTTTGATTTTTTTTACATTCCACCAGTGGTGTAATTATTGTCTCTTAATTTGTTTCCTCTTTGCCCATGTGAGACATTTTTCTGCCATGCTTGGTCCCTTGGTGCACTACAATCATTTTGATTTAATTTTGTTGTTTTTCAAAGTGCACATATTCTAAATATCTAATTTCCTTGCTTTATATTATCCATTTCTCCAAGCTGCTCTTTTAACATATGTGGAAGAACACTATTATAAATTCTATACATCCATGGGAGAGGAGTGTGTTCATTGCTATTATGATGTTATTGTCATTTCTTGTAATTATCTCAGCATACTCATATATATATATATACACTAACTGTTGTATATGTAGATATATAGTTACATATTTATATGCTGCATATTTCTGTGTATATAATAAGCTAAATATCATTTATATAACTATTTTCTACTCTCTTTAATATCATATGGGTCACCTTAGAAATTTCTATTGCTAACTAGTAATATAGTAACATATTTAAGTAAATGTAGCTGCCATCGTCAACTGTTCATTCACTTTCAAGCTTTGTCCATGTTTTTGGCTATACTGATAACAGAATTTCTAACCTATACCCGTTGGGAAAATCATCACATCAAAAATATTATCAAGTAAAGTGATTGCAAAGATCATCTGTCTATAACTTTGAAATCTCCACTTAATTCCAAAGTGACTTAAGTCAACAAGTTCATCTCTAGCTTCTTCACTGTGATATATAATATTAGATGTCATGGAAATAATAAAGGAAAATAGAAGGAGCAACATTCAATAATAATTACAATCATTATCAATTTCTAAATCATTATCCATTTCTACATACCTAAATTAAAGAGAAAAATTAGCATCATATCTTCATGTAGTTCAGAGATTATTTTCAGAGGGTCAGTTTTCATAAAGGCTTCCTGTGACCATTCCTGCTGGGCCTTAGTTTTTAGACTTTAATGTAATGATTGCTATATAATCAAAACTGAGATAATTATACTCAGGGAATTAAACAGTGTCATACAAAGCATAGTAAGGAAAAATGTAATTGCTCTTATTCCCAGGAGTTCACCCCTAATCAAATGAAATCTTGAGGGAGCGTCTTTCTATATATTTTATGACATCTCTAATATTTCAAGGATCTATGTAAAATAGCATCATTCAGGTAAGTACTTTCGCAAGTTTGAAAGGAATCGTGGTACTTGACTTTATGTGTGTGAACCAAACAGAAACAGGTTGCATTGTTTTCCTATAAGTAGAGGAAAGCCAGGTTTTATTTTGGATTACCAGTACCTCCAACATGAAGATCTGTTTCATGTAAGGAATAGTTGGTATAAACCTTACCTATAACTGGACAGAGGATTCCAAGAGGAGAAAAAGTGTGTACCTAAAATACATTTGTGCTAGCATTTTTCAACCTTGGAATGTGTGGAGACCTTTATGAACTTTATCTTCAGACATTACAGGAGCTTCCTAATGCTAGATAAAAATGATTACCCATATTTGGGACTAGTATAATTTCTAGGGTTGTTTAATGATTAAATGTATTATGGTGTTAACACAAAATATAAGTAATTGGCTGTAGCTCTCTCTTCTGATGTAATATAATGGTTGCAATTCTGACTTGTGTTACAAGTAATATAGATACTAAATATAGTTTATTTTAAAATGATTATTCAATTTTCATGAATTATTATGATTTATGAGCCCTCTCACAGAATGTGCACAAATATCAACCACAGTTTACCATATACTACTATATGCTATTCCTAACACTTTGCTCATTTGGATACTCCATTTATTCTAATAAATCATCTGATATTATTAGTATGTTTGGTGTTTTGTGGGTGCATGAAAATTTGTTATAATTATTCATATCATTGAATTTTGGGAAGACTTAGCTCATTTCCCTTCATCTTTCCAGAATAAGGTTTCTCCTTAAAACACTTCAGTGGCATCACTCTGGGCTATACTAGAACAAGCATGCTGCTGTGGACCCACCCAGTGTTGATCCCACTGTCCCCTTCTAGACTGTAACAATCTAAAGACCAGTGATTCTGTTTCATCCATCTCTTCATTCTGAATGTCTGCAGGAACCTTTTTCACTTCCATTTTTAACTATTTTATGAGTCTTAATTCATAGCCAGACAATATGATACTGTTTTGAATTGTTAACATCATATAACTGTTCATTGTCATTTTCTATAGATTTTATAAAAATTTCTT